TTTTTTTTTGTTTTTTAAATTTAATTCTCTGTGGTGTCACAGTTGTCTGTATGTACGATTCTACACACACAGAACACGCACTGGACGCCTCACTGGTATGTTTTCCGGTCACCATTTTCATGTGTTTCTGTTCAATTATTTGTTCTTAATCTCAGCGTTTTACACTCAACACACACACACACACACACACACTCGTGGGCTGTTGAAATTTTGCTTCTTGGGGCATTTTTCTTGAAGGGGTTCGGTTTAAGTTGATTGTTTGATTTAAAGAATTTTGCTCTGGTTTGATTGCATGATCTGTTAACTTTTGCTCACAATTCTAGAATTCACCCAAGAAAAGTGCCCAATTCATCTATATTTGAAAAAAAAAATAAATAAATAAATAAAAATCCTGTCTTGATGCTTTTACATTGCTTTGCTTGAGCAGGAAACTCCATGAACATGAAATATGTGCAATCCTCTATATTCCAGCAAAAAAAAAAGGCCCATTTCATCTAATTGGTAAAAAAAAAATAACAAAAAATGCTGTCTTTGTACTTACATCGCTTTGCATTCAGCAGGGGACTCCATGAACATGAAATATGTGAAATCAGTATAATCTCAATTCTCAAGAGCTATTTCAGTAAATTCTTGAAAAGAAGAAAGAAAAAGAACCCCCAAAAAAAAAGAAAAAAATGCAGCATCCGAAATCCGAATCCGACATAGCCAGCCTGGCCGCCTCGTCACCCTCGAGGTCCCCCAAACGGGCCATGTACTATGTTCAGAGCCCGTCTCGTGACTCGCACGATGGGGACAAGTCATCCATGCACGCCACCCCTAACTTTGCCAGCCCAGTCGAGTCCCCTTACCATCCCTCATCTGGCCGCCACTCGAGGAACTCTTCCGGCAGCCGCTTCTCCGGCATCTTTCGCTCGTCTTCTGGCAGGAAAGTGGCCGGAAAGAGGAATGACAAGGGCTGGCCCGAGTGTAATGTGATCGTGGAGGAAGGCCAATATGACGAGTTTGGTGATGAGAAGGCGTACACTAGGCGGTGCCAGGCTTTGATGGCGGTTTGCGGTTTTTTCCTGCTTTTCACGGTGTTTTGTTTGATTATATGGGGTGCGGGGAGGCCCTTTAAACCTGAAGTTGCTGTTAGGGTACTAATATTTCTTGCTGTTTATTGATTTAATTCTGTTTTTTGTGTTTGTTCTACTATTTGGTGCTGACTCTGTGACTTGTCTGAAGTAGGATTCGTGAATTTGGGAATTCAAAAGTGAGGTTTAGTCTAACTGCAGAAAAAATTAATTGTCTTAGTTGCTAAGAAGACCATTACAATTCTCGCACGTAGGGTATTTGTATTTTTGAATGACTATTGTTGTAGCCAGGCTTAATCTCAGAGGTAATTTTGAGATTTTCTCTATTTTGTGCATTTATATTATTATGTATTCATAAAGTGCTGATATTGCATATTTGCATCTTAAGTAGTTGACTTGTGTCCATATAATTCTGTATTCATGAAGTGCTGATATTGCATGTTTGCTTCTTCGAATTTATATGTCTTATTTTTTTCATTAGATAACATATCTTTCGAGATCTTTTGGGATAATAGCTGTTCCTTCAAGCTCAGCAGTGTTTAACTTTCTCCGTGCAGAGTTTGACGGTCAACAATATGTACATTGGTTCGGGTTCAGACTTCAGTGGGGTCCAGACAAGAATGCTTACAGTGAACAGCTCTCTGAAGATTAGTGTGTACAATCCAGCCACATTCTACGGGATTCATGTGAGCGCGACACCCGTCAATCTCGTCTATTCGGATGTAGTTGTAGCAACTGGACAGGTAGATATCTATGTGACCCTCTTGTTTTGCTGTATTTTCTTTGCATATTAGAGCTTTCGAAAAGTTTTCCCCATTTTTATATTAATATATTGGAAAAAAAAGTCGATTCAACTTGTAGCTGAAGAGTGATTGTGCAATCGAGTACTTTCATGTTAGATTGCATGCGACATTTTCCGGTGGAGTATTCAATCTCGTGTTGTATACTTCTATTTAATTGGGAAGCGAAGTGGTGCTCAATCCACGAATTACTCATGAATGCATGTTCCTTTTGCAAAATGTGATCTTGAAAGGAACAATATTAAGAAATGCGATAATTTAGGATACGCGTGAAAGAAGTTTCTTCGAAAAGGAGGTTGATCCATGCTTCTAAAGCATATGAATGTGTTTGGTAAACACTATAAGTTAGCTTATAGCTTATTTGGTTAGTTTATAAGCTTCATAAATTCAAATGAGTTTGATGAGCTTATGAGATAAGCTCACCAAATAAGTCTTTGGGTAGTTTTTCTAATAACCCATTGAAAATTTTATTTTATCTAGGAGTTTTTACCAAAAATTCTTTCATATCAGCTAGCTTTTCAGTCATAAGCTATATGACTATCAGCTTATCAACTATAGCTATAGTGTATGTGGCAAGCACCACAAGCTAGCTTATAGCTTGTTTGGTTAGTTTATAAGCTTTTTGTATACAAATAAGTTTGGTTTGGTAGGAGTTTTTTTAAAAAGCTCGAGCTTATCTCATAAGCTTCTTTGGATAGCTTTTCAAATAAGTCTGTTGAAATTTTTATTTTAACTGGCTTATCAACTAATTTTACCAAACAATTTCAAGTTTGTCAACCATAAGTCATAAGATATCAGCTATAAGCTCGAAATTTGCTTATAAGCTATCAACTAGTCTTACAAATATAACCATGGACTTGAAATTCACTTAAAAGCTATCAACTTAGTAGGTTTACCAGACATATCCTATGTTTTTGGTCCTTCAATTTTTCTTTCAAAACTGCAGTAACGTGTATTGATTTTCTCTCTTTTTGTGCAGCTAAGAAAATACTATCAACATCGAAAAAGTCAAAAAATCGTGTTGGTGCACATAGAAGGAGCAAAGGTCCCTTTGTACGGTGCCGGAGAAAGTCTTGTCACCACAAACAATGCCGTTAAGGTTCCATTGACGCTGGAGTTTCAAATCACATCAAGAGGAGATGTTGTCGGGAAGCTCGTTAGGACAAAGCATCGCAAAAGAGTTTCATGCCCGTTAGTAATCGACTCGGGTAGCAACAAGCCTATCAAATTCAACAAGGGTTCTTGCACATTCAGCTAAATTAAAATTGGTGTTTGAAAAAAAAAAAATAATAAATTGGGAAGATGTAATAATAAATTTGAGAATTGTAGAGAATGTGAAGATTCTACCTACTATTATCATTTTGTATTTTTATTTATTTATTTTTTTTTTCCTTTTTGGAGAGGTTATTGTTGTGTGGAATTTGAGTTAATGATGTTTGAATCCTTTGGTCTTTACAGGGATTTTTTTTTCCTTTCAATGGAATAATTTGTACAATGATAGAAGTCATTTAATATAAGTATAATGTAATTAGCATTTTAATATTGGTAGAAGTTTGTGTTATCAACGTGATTTATCTTTCTCTATTGTTTTTTTTTTTCCAAAACGACAGATGAACTATTATAAATCAAAAGCACACAAATGTGCGAAACAAAGATACAAAGCTCCCGACGGGAGAATAAAAGGGGAGGACATATCCAAATACATCCTAAAATCCCGCTAGCAAAGCTAGAATAAATCTTTCTCTATTGTTGTTTTGCAAAAATTGGTTAATTCATTTAAATATAAAAGATGTTATTTTGGTTGACTATATGGTGAATGCAAATTCTATATAAGAAAATTTGAAATATATATTATTAGCAAAAAATTTAATAAATCTCTCTCCATTTTCTCATCTTTTCTTTTTTAAACAAGTATTTTTCTTTATCTATTTTACTTTATAATTGTTAATATGAACTAATTATGAAGTCACATTAAATATTGCTCCGTTCTAAAAGTTTTTTCAAACAATTTATTTAATTTTTTTTTTCAACTCATCAAACAATTTATTTTATTAAAACTAGTTATTATTTTTATAGCATAACCAAACTCTTTAAAATTTTGTGCACAGTTGCTATAAGAATAATAATAATAATTTCATTATTGTTTATTCGATTAAATGATCATAGTCAGATAAAATTGCATCAATATAAAGATTAATATCTAATTATCATTCATTTTTGTTAATTATAAAAATTTATAAAATATGATATGTCAATTATCTAACTTATGATTTTAAATATTATATAAACACACATATAATGTATAAAATTTTATTTGTATTTGATTGATTACTAGTAAAAGAGTAAAGTTTATACAATTGATAAATTATTTGAAAAATAACACAAATTTTACGAAAATGCTATAGTACCATTATGAAACCGTTAGGTTGGGATTTTTGTGACTGTTACACATATTATAGCAGAATGATTCCGTCACAGGACTATATCTTACCCGAAAATTTATACACCAAGAAAGAAAAAAATGTCTTTGATTGCTGTGATTCACGGCCATCTCTTACAAGCTGTAAAATCCTTCCCTTTTACTCAAGAGCACTTGGATGAGATGACTTGGGTCTCTTCCAGCTTAACTAGTGGTCTCGTGTTCGAGTCCTGCTTTGCCGTCCTTGTGGTCCTACCCGACTCGATTCTGGATTAGTCGGTTCCCCTGTGGATCCGGAAACCGAAAAGTCTCTATGACAANNNNAAAAAAAAAAAAAAAAACCTTCCCTTTTTCTTCATCTCAAACCCTTCAGCACGTTTTTGCATTTACTTCTGTCACTCCCAAATTCACACATTGCCATCTCTCTGAAGTAATCCATTCGAACAGATCTCAATCAAAGTTTCAATCTTTCGCTTCACATTCACCATGCCCAAATCAAGATTCACTTCAAAAACCCTCATTTTCCCCATAATCATCTATCTCATAGTTTCCCCC